AACAAACACGTAGATTTAAGAACAAAGAACAGAGTTTGACTTTAGAATCTCACAGGATGCGAACACCGCCTCTCTCGGGTGAAAGTTGGTGTTTGTTGGACCCATCCATCACCCCTCCCACCCGCTCCAGTTGGACGCCTTTTTTTATTGGTTTCTGATGCCACAAGTCACTGCCCAAGCGCCGGATTTCGATGACTTTGGAGTGAAACCAGGCTCCACAGTCGCAATAATGGGTTAACTTTACCCACAGTCCAGACGGCAGAAGAAAATGTTGACTTTGTACATCCCTGCAAACTACAAATATGTTACATTTGTATGTTTATACATACCCTAAAAATTAAATTAAAAGCCTGGTCCCAATTAAACGCCTGGTCCCTTTTACTAGCCTGGTGTGGCTACATATTGTGACAAATGAACGCCTGTCTCAATTAGACACCTGGCGTCTCAGTTATAAGCATTGCATACTTCCAAACGAGGCCTGAAAGAGGCGCACGCCACTCCCCATGGAAAAGTTGTGATCTATAAAAACAGACTTGATGGGAGAAACCTTGACTCATGAACATGCTTATGAACATTTAGGGAAACTGGCGATGCAGATGGTGAGGTGGAGGCCTGATTGTAGAAATGTTTAGTATTTTTCGGCTTTTGTCTGTAGGGATATATTTAGCATGGATCTTATGCATTGTTTTATAAATGAGACGCCTTGTCTGGGCTGTTGGCTACCTCGAATTATGTGTCCATTCCTTTATTACTCTTTAAGTTATTTATATTCCTTCAGTCTGTGTAAGGGTTCTCAGATCAAAAGAATCCGAAGGGTTTTTCATAAAAATGAATCCAAGTTGTGAGCATCAGTGTTTTTAAAATGACGTGGTATATTGGCTGACCTAGTCACTGGGAGATGTGACACTAATGCAAGACACCTGCAAAGCTGCAAACAACTGCATACCATTGTTAGAGACCAACACACAACAAAACTGGTTGTGTAGTATCTGACGTGCCATATTGTTTGATGTCTTGGGTCTTTTATGATCAGTTAGGGGCCCAGGTCAAGACTTTATTATGGCCCAGGTCAAGGACTGATAAGCTAGGTTGAAAGGCTGGATTCCATCTAGATTGTCTCTCTGTCACCTGTCACATTTTGTCTCAAAGTTCACAAAAACAACCAATCTATATAGGCAGGGTACTTGTAGCTGTTATTCAGAGCAGTTCATATGGGCTTCGGACACTCTCACAGGCAATCCTAGGAGCTTGATTTGATGCTGTACTTCTTGTAATAAACCTTTCTATACCTATACAAGCAAGACGGTGTCAGCGGAGTCTCCTTCATCACCTTCACATCATCGCTATTTAATAAACAACAGTTGTTTTTAAGTGAATCATTGCTGTGTTTCCAGTGGATTTTTCCCCCGAAAAGGTGGTTGTTTTTCCAGCGGGAGTTCTTTTCGTAAAACAGAGCTGTCTCTGCAGTAGAAAGAGACAGATACTTTTGAAACTGGTCCTACAGAACCAGAGAAAACGGGAGAAAACAGAGAAAAGGGGCTGCAGCGTTTGTTTTTCCTCAAGAGGTAGAAAACCTACAACTACCAGAATGCAGTGCGCTGCAGTGGACCAATAAAGGCTCCCTCTTGTGGGTGACGTATTACGAGCTTGGCCGTTTTCATACAGGAAACAAAATGGCGGGCAGTCGGTATCAAACTCTTCGAATATCAGTTAAACGGTAAGCTAAAATGTGTTTCTACAAACATTTGAGGCGATAAATTGATCAGCACTGCCTAGTTCTACCGTTTTTATCGTTGTTTTTTTAGCCTCCATTTTTCCTTTGAGAGACAGGAGGGCCAGGTCTCTCTCTCTCTGTGTTTGTGGTGGCAGGCATACAAAAATCAGTAATCCTCCAAATATCATTTTTAATGATTGGTGATGACTGACCGGCTCTTAATATTTTCCTTCTTTATAATTCTATAGTTTCCCTGGCGAAAATTCTGATGTACAATCTGTTGAAGCAGGTTTGATCTGAGAGATGAGCAATGAGATCTGGGTGCTGGTAAGATGGAGGGAAGTTCGCCACAGAGGTAATTATCAGTTCATGCAAATGTGGTAATTAGTATGACATCATGTGATATATGTGTCAAAATTAAACAAAAGCTCAAACTGCAACCTCTGTGATGATAATTGTGTGGGAGATGAGTGTGATATTTTCACTCACAGAGAAAGGTGTTTGCCAAAGTATTAATCAAGCCGCCCATCTATGTTTAAATTAATGTTGTTATTACAATCAGAGACAAAGGATGTCCTTCCTTTGTTTAAGTAACATTTGTCGTACTTTAGTCATGCTGTTTGCCATTGTTCTGTTATTGTTGTATTTAATGTTTGTGCTCCATACCATGTGATATGGTCTTGAGTCAAATAAACGAAAACGAAACAAAACAATTTATTTACACATACTACCCACACCTTTATGATACAAAGCAGGTTGGAAATTGGCAAAATATCTCCTAAACAACATCCCTAGGCTGAATGCTTACCGAAAATTTAATCCAGCCGTTTAGAGGGATGGCTTTTTGTGGGCTAATGTGAAAGTTAGCGTCACCATAGTTCCCTTAACAAAAAAAAAACCCAATTGGATTTTTCCTTTGGATTTTGGATTATTACAGAAAATAATCTCTGTGGCAAACAAACGTTTATGATACATACTTTCATGTTTTGTTCAGCAAGATAATCCTAACAAACGAACATCACTGTCAGGATTTTTGAAACGTGAATGCAATAGCCATAAGTGAATAGCTAACGTTAGGCTAATGTCGCCACCATAACGAGACTGTAAAACACAACACAGTCTCACTCCGACCTCATCGCATATTGACGCTTAGTCATGGACTTTCCACGTCCACATACAACGTGCAAGGTACCCTGGGTGTGTTGGTTGTTGACTTCTGGGACACCGTGTCACCTTCAGCCTGTTACATGCATTGTCTTCTTTCAAAATACACTTCCGTTTTCACAGTAAATTTAACGTTTGCATACAGTCTCTTTCAAAATAAAAGCACTATGTCAGTACAACTCCACAAATTGTCGTTTTTTGTTTTTTTTTCCTCCAACAACTAATGCACGTGGTTGGATTTAGGAAAAAAAGTGTTCAGCTTTATAATCTTACGGGATGTGAACGCCGCTCTCCCGAGTGAAAGTCTGTTTGTTGGACCCTCCACCACCCAACCCTTCGCCCTATCTGGACTTTAGTCGCCTTAACGTTGGTTCTTGTCCTGTTGTGTGTCCCCCTGACACAGCTAAATGCCATTAAACTACAGAGATCGACAACAAAAGGGAAGAGGAAAAGGTGCGGAAACACTAGTTACAGAGGGCGGTGTCACACTATATAGTAAACGTAGGGGTACAGTCTCGAATTAAAGATCCACATAACTGACTTGGAGGCCTAACGTGTCAGGTATTAACTAAAATAAATATAAATAAAATAAACTTAAGGTTACACGGATTTCGTCTGATTATAACACAATAACTAATGTACATTTTCTTTACGCATATTGCTGCCGCATAATTGACCCTGTTACACGCATATCATGCCAACGTTAAAGGACGGCTTTTTTGTCAGTGTCTGACGCTGCAAGTCATTGCCCAAGCGCCGGATTTCGATGACTTTGGAGTGAGACCGTGTTGTAAAGCTGTGTTCGGCGTTCTACGGTCTTTTTTAGCCACTTGTTAGCAACCGCCTTTTTTAAGACACATAAAAGCTTAAAAATTCACAAGTGGGGTATTTACACAGGGTGGGAATAACTGCGAGTCCCCACGATTTGATATTATCATGATACTTAGGTCACGATACATTACTGCGATTTTAAATATGTTGCCATATGCTGAATGTTGTTATAAAATATATTGGGTTATATTCCGATTTATTACCTTTTTTTTTAAACTGTGTATTATGTCCCCTAAAGGAAAACTTTGTCAACATCTGCTTTATCTAATAAGATAAAGTTTTAAGACAGTTAATCTCACTTCAGTCATTTTTTGCAGCAGCAAAAAGTATCTGGGGGACTGAAAAAGCAATTGATTATATTATTGTAGTAGCCTACATAAAGTTTAATTTGTATTTCTCATATTATTAATTTATGATAAAAAAAATACTTGGCCGTGTGTGACAATACCATATTGACACACAAAAATATTGCAGTACTATGCTGTATTTAATTTTTTTCCACAACCCCAAGTATTTACTGACATATTTTATGTCGCAGAACAAAACGTTATTGTCTCTTAAGCTTGTGTTAACCACAGAATTTATTTCAGGCATTTATTTAAAAAAAAAAAAAAAAAACATTCACAAAATTGCTAACTCATTTCTAGGTTTTAGGATTCATTCCTCTACCACCAATTGCAAATGACCGGAATAGAAACCTGATTAAAAGGGTGACAGATTTGGTCTTCAACCCCCAACAATCCAAAACAACCCTGATGACATCATTATGACATCATCTGGGGAGTGCCTCTGTAATATATGCAGTGTTAAAACTGACATCTGCGCGATTTAATGAAGATATTGATCTCACCAAATATTCTCTTTGAATTACATGCTTATAAAATATGTTGATGCAGTTTAGAGTAATATGAACTTTGCACTTGGGTTATATTTGTTTTCAAGAAATAAATAAATGCAAATAAATGAGACATACCAAGGTTAAAAAAATAGATGAGTATTATGATTTAGAAATATTATAGCACAGCAGATAAAACCAATGACATGTAAACCTGCAGCTGAGCACTGCAGGAACACACAGGATGCTGATTCCTGAATGAATATTATAGAAATAGTAAAAGATGAATACAGTATTTTTATCAGTTAATATCTTTGTCCTGTTTTAAAGAATAAAAACCGAAATCAGCTGTTGAGATGTGGGGCTGAATCAGGTATAGCCCTGTGATATTAAAACGCCACAGACTAATTTATAGTTCCCATCATCGGCGCTCATAAAGTGGTATTATGGGCTGAGCGGAGGAGGAGCGGGTGGGGCCTGGCTGGGAACACAGAGGCAGACTGTGGTCACTGACCGGAGACTCTACTGGCTTTTATTCTACTCAAATCAGACCGCATGTCTGACCCAGGGGTCCGCCTGCTGCCGGGAGCAAACTGCACTCATTTCCCCAGTATTTGACAGATGGATGCTGTGCTGTCGTAGAGGAGGAGGATGAAAAAATCGCCTGATATATTTTTTGGCATTTTCGCTCATAGCCTATTTATGGGAGGCAGCGGCGGCTTGGCCCTTTCTTTATTATAGGAAAGAGATCTCCGCGGTTAGCTATGTGAAGAGCAGATCGCCTAATAATTCTCGTTTCGCGCTTCTGAGGAATAATTATGAACAACGCGCAGGATATGTCGCCCGATTTCGTGTTGATGCGCCTGGTTTCCGCGGCCGAGGATGACCGCTTGGACGCGGAAAACGGGAATCTGCCGCCGGGAGGAGTGGTGGCAGGGCTGGGGAAGGAGGTCCTGGCTCACAGCGGCGTCAAAGCGGGGTTGGATATCAGCCGAGATCCGACGGCGGGCCTCGAGCATCCCAGCAGCCGCCTGAACAAAGCCCAGCCGAGCGGCGAGGGCACGGCTGCACCTGACACCGGGGTGACGGAGAGCCGAGCCCCGCTGTCCGCGCCTCCTCCGCCGCAGAGCCCCATGGAGGCCCAGGGCTTTGACTTCGCTCCCAGCCCCGGCCTACGGCCTCAGCTGCTGGTCTTCTCCAATATAATGCGGAACGGAGAAGGGATTTTAGAATTAGACCGTCGGAATCAGCCGAGGGATGCTCTGGGTTTGGACCAGAGCCCGGGGTCTGGATGCACCGGCCCGGCTGTCAATAACAACACTATGAGCCCCGAAGACGTTCAGCAGCAGCAGAACCTGCTGGACCGGACATGGGGAGCGCATCCGCCGGTCTCCGTTACCGCGGAGATGCAGGGAGCTGCGGAGCTTTGCCGCCGGCACCGACTCATCACTACCCCACCCGAGTGGCCCTTGTTGACGGAGAGATCCAACCCTCTCACCGTGATTGACTCTAAATGGGGATGCGCCTCCAGGGACAGAGAGGGAGCCGTGTTTGAGCTGGCCCGGCGGTTCGGGGAGCTGGGGGTCGGTGCGGTACCCAAGATGCTGCTCAAAGCAGGGGAACTCCCGCAGTGTTCGTGTCAGGGCGCACACAGGCCGGCAGGAGGGGGAGTGGAGCCCGGGGATGACCCCACAGAGACCAGCGATGCTTTGTTGGTCCTGGAGGGGCTGGGGAGCGGGGATGTTGCCGGCCTGGGCATGGACGAGTGCCCGGAGGGTGAGCCGGACGACGAGAACGTACGCCGCGAGTTTTTACTCAACAGGAAACGAGAAATAGTTCAGAAAATGTCCGGGACTTTCTCCATCAGCAGTTTCCAAGCGGAGCTGAGGCGGCAGGTGGAGGGGATGGCCCCGGCGGCGACCGAAGCAGCGGCAGCGGCAGCGGCAGCGGCGCACCTTGGCGCGCAGGTGTGCAGCCTCCACGGGAACTTAGCCTGTCGACTCTCGCAGGTAAGCTCCGGGGATTCAGAGGTTGTCGCCCAGGTTTCAGTCACGTCACCGTCATCTACACCGGTCCAGAGCTCACCTTGGGCCACGAGCCCAAACCTGAGCCAGGCGTCGACACCCAGAAGGCGGCCGGAGCGGTGCGCCAGTGCGCCACGGACTCCCACGGGCTGGGCCGCGGGTGGGGAAAAGACGCTCAAAGTTCCAGGGAAGTCCAAAAAGGGCTCGTTAAAGATCCGCCTGAGTAAACTGTTCCGGACTAAAAGCTGCAGCGGCTCCAATCACCTGCTGGACAAGAGGCCCTCGGTGACCTACTCAGTATCTTCTGCCGGGAGTCTGGTGGACATGGCGAGCACAGCTGGTGCTGAGCAGGACGCAGACGGGTGAGCCCCTCCACATGAACCTAAACAGTCTAACATCATTGCAATTTAATATTCTTATTTCCCACAATAAGTGAGAGGAAGATAACACTTGCTTGCATGGATGACACATGGGAAATCATTCCAGGGGAGTAATCAAGGCCAAGATCTGAACTGGTGTAACACTGCAAAATCAGCAGTGTTACATCACCAGAAATATGTCCAATATTTCTGCTTTCAAGTGTTCTTTCATCAGTTTCCTTTGTTGTGTTTTGATTGGTAATTAGAGCTGGCCAAAATGGGAGTCCATGAAAGGGAAATTAAGTAAAAAAAGATCTGATTGTTTTCCAATATGTAGGTCAGAAAGATAGCTACAGGCAACCGGAAGTCATGCAAGGAACCTCAGACTGATCTGATGTGCAGAAGACGTGTTCAATATTTTAAAAGAAGCAATGCATTTTGATTCCAGTCACTGTTTTGAAGACTCATTCAGAGTCCAGACATGTTGATTCCTCTCCAAGTTGTTGTCATTCTGCTGTGGACTTTATTTTTGTTATAAGCTGTGCACTCACTGGTTTCTAATGGCTTGAATTAACTCCTTCAACTGGCGGCTTATCGGCCTTCTCCCAGACATCCAAGAACTTTTTTAAGTGCTGCATGTTATTAGATGCAGAGATGTTTCAAACCTTTGTGGCTTGTCACCCTCTATCCTTCTCACTGCTTAGTCATTATTCACAGCAGCACACTCATATGATTAAAAAAACATAGCTTCAGAAGTCTTGACTGCCAGAGCTGAGAGCATCAAACAGAAAAAGTAAAAAAGCTGCAGGACCCAAAACTGCACTCATACCGAAAAGCTAATTTTCTGAACCTCTGCAGCACTTCTTCTTCTCTGCACTCTAACTTTCCTCTCATGTTCCTCTTATTCTGTCTGTCTTGATGTCTGTCCTGCAGCCACAGCCAGCCCAGATTGACCAGGGCCCACAGTGCCTTCTCCCCCGCCTCCCTCTCTGCCTCCCTGTCTGCTTTCACTGGTAAGGGCTGCGCTCTGCTTTGGTTCTAACCCTGGTTCCCTCAGAAATGCTTTCCTCCACAGATAAAACTCCCCCTGACACAAGACACTCCAAACTCTCTGCACCTAAAGATTATTTTTGTTATTTTTGATATTGAAAATGTCCAAAAAAGAAGAAGAACATCCATCAACATTTCCTAAATCTCAAGGTGACATCCTCAAATTGTTTTTTTTATCTCCTAATCATCAACCCAAACCCCTCAAATATTCAGCTTACTGTCACATAAAACAGAAAAGCAGCATCATCACAATTGTGGAGCTGTAACTTACTGTTTGGCAAGTTTGCAAAAAATGTTTTGAATAATTCCTTAAACATTGAATCCAATACCAAAAAGTCGACAGATCTGTTTCTGAAATAGCATCTTGATCATGTTTACAAAGGCCTGGGTAATATGGCGAAAATTTCTGATCCATAATCTTGAGTAATGTGGATTTAATGACGAAGTGGTTAAAGGCAAATAATTGAACAGTCTGCTAAGTTCGGAAACATACATCACTTTACTGTAATGCAACCTTTAAAACCAAGGAAAAGACAAGCGTTATGATATTACAATATCCAAAATCTAAGACACTATCTAGTGTCGTATCACGACATTGATAAAATATTGATTTACTGCCCAGCTAGGGGCATTATAATGGTTGCACTGGGGCCCTTGGCGTTGAGGGGCCCGATTGCCACCTGGAAATATGCCTGTGTCCAAAAAGAACTCACGTTTAATTTTATTAATCTATTAATCCTTCAAAAAGGCAAAACTCATCTCCATCATGGTTTCCTGTTTTTGTAAAATATAGTATCAATCTATAACAAATTATGTTCTTATTCTGCATAAACTACAAAAAAACATTTTGTTAAACTAATAATTTCCTATTTTCTTTTGTAGTTTTTGTCATATACAGATATGTACTGATGATTGCTGGGTGATATGTATGTTGATTTAGTCCAATGTCAAGTCTCTGTTTAATCATATAACGAGACGATATGATTTACAGCAGCTAGTTTAGGTGCAAAATCTTTCAAGACTGACAAGCTGGGCACATCTGTAAGCAGATATAGCATAAAAGCGGCAGTAAGATGCACTGTTGGTGAAATATATATACACCTAAAACTCTCTGTGTGTGTGAGCTTCATGAGGATGAACTAGGGCCCATCATATCAGCATGCACTGGGGCCCATTGTACCTACCTTAGGCTACTGTGCCCAGCCCTAATCATACATTAACATTGCCGTGGCCCAGGAAGTTGAACTTGATATGTGTTTGTTAGTGGTGCTTTGTGGATATTGAATATCTGTTTATCTATATTTTTATACTTTAACCTTTTTTGATATTTTATATTTGCACTCTTTCCCACTTGCTGCACAGCAATACTGCAGACAGGTCGACCAAATCTCTGTTACTCTTCATTACTCCTCATGACTTTAAGGCTAAATAGACTTTAATAATTTTGTCTGCGGTACAATATTTACTTTTTACACCACTGCACTGTTCAGTGTCAGAAAGAAACAAGAACATTTACTCAAGTTAGGTAGGTCACACATCTAAGATGAGAGGATTGATATCAAGTTCATCTCTCTGCATTTAACAGTGTTTAGCTAGCCTGATTCTATAGCTCAAGTTTCAAGTTATCTATTTATTGTCAAATGACAACAGTCACAGAGAAATAGTCAAATAAAATCTGCAGGCTCCCTCCAACAATACCCCATTAAAAAAAAATAACAAAGAATAATTTACATAGCTCTTTTTAAAACCAAAAGCACTTTGCATATAAGATAACTATAGAATAACAACTACTTTGTAAACTACCTGAAAAAAGCACCAAAATCTGCAGTACAATAAATGCATGAAGGCCAAGAAGAGTAAGTTTGCTAACGTCACCTCACTGAATCCCTGTCCCAGTGTCAGCTCAGACATTCATGACAGAGACACTGCTGCATGTCACGGTGCCAGGACTGCTGTAAAATAAATAACTAAAAATAAGTAAATAATACATTCAGTGTAGGAGATGCACTGATTTCAGGTGCAGAAGGACCTTATTTTATGTCTTATTTTGATGCAAAGATTATTAGGTTAGCAGGAATGTAGCACAACATGGAAGTGAAAGCAGAGCTCTGTTTATTTAAATGTCAAAGTCCAATACAAAATATTTTTTATCCCTAAAATCATTGAATAATTGTGCTAAATAATCAAGATCTCAATATTGATCAAAATAATCTTTGTTGCCATAATTGTGTAGCCAAATCTGTGATTATCGCTGATGTCAGGACAGCTTGTGGATGCACAGTGCCCATCCTCCTTTGGTGCCATGCCGTTGTTCCAAAGCCCCATTAGTCCAAAAAATGTCCCACTGGTCCGAAAGCCAATTTCTCCAACAGCCTATTATCCCAAAAACAAATGCCCATTGCTCCAAAGTCCTGTGTCACCGAAAATACACACTCCTTGCAGTTAGTTTCAGTTTCCTGGCAGCGTTTGAGCCACTGATTCCAGGTGTTTTTATCAACACTTACCTGCTTTTCCAGAGGATTTTGTACCACTAAATATGGATGTTTAACCCAAAACATGATCTTTTACCAAGTAACCAAGCGGTTTTCGTGCCTAAACTTATTCATACATTCACCATGGCGTTGTTGAGAAACACATCTGCGACAAAATAATGTACAAATGTGACATATACTTGGTTTAGGTGGTACAGGAACCGAGTATCAAACGTTCCATGTACTGACTATGGAGGCCCGAGCGTGTCAGGTAATAAATGAAACCAAGTTTGTGTAATTATAATACTTAATTGTACATATGACTTTGTTACACAAGTTACTGCTGTATGATTGACCCTGTTACATATGGAATTAGCACTGTTAGCTGCTAGCTGCTGGCTCAGCCACCTCCATGTTGAGAACCGTGTCCAGACAATTCATGCTCTGAATTTTGCATATCACTCCTTTAATGTTCTAATAACCAAAAGTGAGAAAAGTCATTCAAAAACTGGCAGAATTTCAGCTTTAAAAATGCAACATGTTTGTAAATCTGCAACCTTTAACTCTGTAACTGGAGCACCATATAAGATAAGACACAAAAGGCCTTTGGGAGAGAAGGGCGAGGAGGTCTGTAGCTCAGCTGGCAAAAATTATTTAGCTGACTTTATGAGAATCGTCCCATATAACGTCCGCAGAGCTCAGCAGCACATTCTGGAGTCCCACATTGCTTGTAGATCTCAGTTTTGCTAAATCCACTTTTTGAATGTGATGATTTCTGTAGTTTAATAAACACACGCTCTGCACAGGCCCAACCACCAATTAGACAGAAACATTAAAGCTGCACCATGCAGGCAACATTTCACGTTGGCTGCCCCCAGAGGAGCCAGCAGGGTGAGTTGTTTTAAATCTCAGGGACTTCAAAACCCAGAAGTCCTGTGCAGAAGCGTGCTCGTGTTTACCAGCTGGTCTGTGATGTCTCACAACCAAAGAAGAAGAAGCTAGAGAGATGCTAGAGGAAGAGATCTAAAGTGGGTGAGTCCAGCTCTCCCTGCTGCTCAGTAGACAGTGGGGATTTGGCTCTAATGCTTGAATTTGTTTCTTTCCCTGCCAGTAAAACATCCCCAACTGCAGAATTTCACTTTGGTAAACAGTGAATCTGCAGCATCTCAATTAGCCGGGATGGGATGTCCTTCTTTATTGCAGTGATTTAGGCTGATTAGCCGGGTGTAATTTTCCATAAGCATCCTGCCCGGTGCAGCTTTAATGGCACTCTGCAGCACAGACAAAAACAACACACAATCACAGAAACACAAACCAGTGCCTGTTGGTACTTTCTCTCACTCTGGTGTCTTTATCTCACTTGTCATTCCCTCTCCTCCTCTTTTCTCCTCTGCATCTCCTCTGGCTCCAGGTGAGACTGTTTCTCTGGTGGATGTGGATATTTCGCGGCGAGGGGCGAACACGCCACACCCTCCCACGCCTCCCCCTCCTCCACGTCGAAGTCTCAGTTTGTTAGGTACTTTTCTCTCCTTGTGTTCATCTCGTCTTCTGTTTCTCCTTCATCTTGTTCCTTCTACAGACAAATTATAAATATGATAGTAAGAAAGCAGAAATTGTCGTTTCTAAACTATACAGAGTGCTACACTTCACCCTGTCTCATGTCAGTTTCTCTCTGTCAGTCATATTCTTACTTAATCATTTTATTTTCCGTCGCAGCGTTTCCGAAAACAGACACAGACAAGTTTTGTAATCTGCTTTAATCTGATTGGGGAAGCTTTGAAAGGTCAGCTGCAAACTACAGAATTCAATTTAAAATCTGAGAGCAACGACTCAATCGATAAGGAAAACAGTTTGCCTCTCCTCACAGGAAAACAGTCTGTACCACAGGGGGGAAAACAACAACTTTTATTCTTTTGTTTGGGGTTTTTAGGGGCGTATTTGTCTGTTTATTTTGTCTTGTTGCTTTTTTTTTTAGGGTGATGCAGCATTTTGTTTTGGTTGACCGTTATCTAATTTTGTTCAGATCAAATTATAGTCTTTTTTTGGTCAGCAAATGCACCGGAACCAAACACGTAAATCAGGGGTTCCAGGAAAAAGTATCAACACCAATGCATGAATATGTGACTAGAAATCAGTTTTAAACAATATGAAACATTATTTTCTTAAATGTTAGAGCATTTTTCCTCCTAATGTCTTGTCTGTCCTCTGACCTTTCAAATGCATATTTTTGCTCCGAGCCCAGTGTTATTTTCTGACCCACATATGAAGCCGACTTGAGCATCTACTTGCTTTAAAAAAAAAAAAAAGGTTGGCAGTATTCTATATATTTTTTCACTGTCTACAAAATCCCATTTAAAAAAAAAAACGACTTCCCGATCCTGACTGTATATAGCTTCATTTTTTAAAGTCTCAGTAAATTCCTAAAATAGCTGCTCACTGTAGATTTGATCAAACAAAAAGGAGACGTAGTGCATTTGCTGGGAACTATTTTCAGTGGCGAATTCATCCACATTTAGTGCTGTAGTGATTATTTGTGGCAGCAGGATGGTGAATGTGGGACTGAGTCAAAATAAACCACAGTGTGTGTGTTCATGGTGATGAAGGAACATGTCACCCAGTGCAACAGTGGAGCACTCTGATGTGTTTGTAATGACAGTGGCGCTCCGGGCACCGAGGAAGACGATGTATCTGGCTGCAGATAAACACGTGTTACATGTTTGTGTGTGTTAAGTGTGTGTGTTGGAAACATTCACTGTTGGTTTGAGTCGGAATTTAGGATTTGCTGATAAAAGATAAAGTTAAATCCACAAATTAGAGGAATCTTATTGGGCAGTATTCAGAAAAAGGTCTTTTAATTTGGTGAACTGAGACTTCCTGACTGATGGTGTTGAAAAACTCAATCGTTCCTTCCTTTTTTTATCTTTCCTTTCTTTCCGTCTTTCCCTCACACTCTTTTCTTTCCTCCCATCTTTACTTTCTTTGCTTTCTTTTTCTTTTCTCTTTGTTCCCTCCCTATCCTTGTCCTGCCTCCTTCTTTCATTCTTCTCCTCTCCTGCCCTTCCTTCCTTCTTTGCTCTCTCCTTTCCTTCATCTCCTCTCCTGCCCTTCCTTCCTTCCTTTCTCCCTTCTTGCTTTGGTATCTCCTTTCCTTCCTACCCCATCTCCTTGTTTCCTTGCTCTCTCCTTTTACTTCCTGTCCTACCTTCTTTGTTCATCCTCCTCCTCTCCTGCCCCTCCGTCCTTCTTTCCTTCCTGTTTTGCTTTCTCCTTTTCTTCCATCATACCTCCTTGCTTTCTTGCTCTCCCCTTTCCTTCATCTCTTCTCCTGCGCTTCCTTCCTTTCTTCCTTCCGTCCCACCTGCTTTGCTCTCTCCTTTCCTTCATCTCCTTTCCTGCCCTTCCTGCCCTTCCTTCTTTCCTTCCTTATTTTGCTTTCTCCTGTTACTTCCTTTCCTACCTCCTTCCTTCTATTCTTTCTCCACCCACCGTGTCCTCTCCTCTCCTCTCCTCTCCTTCCTTCCTTCCTTCCTTCCTTCCTTCCTTCCTTTCTTCTATGTTCTTTTCATTCCTTCCACTCCTGTCCTTCCCTTATTTTCGCTCTTCTTTCCTCCTCTCCCACCTTCCTCCTTTCCTTCCTGTCCTACCTCCTTTCTTCCATCTTTCCCTCCTGCCTTTGTATCCTTCCTTCCTTGACTCTTTGCTCTCTCCTTTCCTTCCTGTCCTACCTCCTTTCTTCCATCTTTCCCTCCTGCCTTTGTATCCTTCCTTGACTCTTTGCTCTCTCCTTTCCTTCCTGTCCTACTTCCTTCCACCCACCCAACCCTCACCTCCTGTCTCTGTATCCTTCCTTCCCTCCATCTTTTCTCTCTCCTTTCGCTCCTTTTCTACATCCTTCTGTCCACTATGCCTTTGATTTCCTCCTTCCTTCCTCCCCCCTTGCTCTCTCCTTTCCTTCCTGTCCTTCCTCCAGATGACATAGCCGGGCCTCAGCCTGGACCTTTCCTAGTGAGTGTTATGGGCGCCTCTCTGCAGTCCCTCCCTCTGCCTCTCCCTCCTCCTCCTCCTCCCTCCCACGCCACCATCCAGCACAGTCTCAGCCTCAATGGTAAGACGGCGTGTCTTCTTGCACTAGTTGTCGGTCAGCAGCTGCTTTGATGTTTACTCAGAGGCTTGTGGTTTCCACAAATACGTCCAAATATGGACGTACAAATATGTCCTTTATGAAACAACGCTGTAGCTGTGGCATCATAAAATGCTTCATGCAGCACCTTTAATTTCTCTGCCACTCTTCTCCTGATTTAGACGCCTTCCTTCGGGCCCTCCCTCATTCGACCCCATCACCTGGTGATGCTCCACCCCCTTCCAGACAGCCCCCGCCCCCTATGTTGTGCGCCCTGCGGCGGTCTGAAGCCAGCAACTTCACCGCCAGTCTGAGAGAGCTGGAGAAGGTAAGACTCTCACTCCTCACCTACATTCATCCATTATCATTAATGAAATTCATTTAGGTGCAGAGCGTGTGTGTGTGTGTGTGTGTTTCTGATTATTGATTAATATTATTGGTTGTTTGTAGTTGTAGTTGTGTGTAGTTGTTATTTTTGTTGATTGTAGCCTTGTGTTAAACATGAGCGTGAGTATCTCTTGATATAAACTGGCATTGTAAGAGACTGGTGAGATTGAGCTGCACAATTCAACTTGCAAAAGAACGAAGAGGGAAGGATGTTTCAAATGCAGTTTGAATAATAAAGATCCGTTCAGACATTATGGAGATATAAAGTCAAGAAAACTGTCTTGCTGTCTTGCTTGCAGATTTGAAGGTGTATGTTTCAAGGACTATAACATCAGTAGGCTATAAGCTGTAGGTGGATGATTTCAGCATATTAACCCAGGGAGACATACATTGAACATTTAACTGAGGGAAAAATGCTGACGACATAAAGGCCGTTGAAAGTTCTCCCTAATGTGTCATATCAAGAGGATAATAAGCAGTGGAGCAGAGGACCCTGGGATCACAGTGAGCATGTTAGCTTGTTTGGGTGAAAGTTTTAACTTTGGAGAAGAAAAGAAAGAAATCAGAGAGCCGAGCTGAGGCTGGTTTCTTACAGGATTACTGAAGGTTTCTGCTGGTTTCTCCTCAGTGTGGCTGGTACTGGGGTCCGATGAACTGGGAGGACGCAGAGATGAAGCTGAAGGGGAAACCGGACGGATCCTTCCTGGTCCGAGACAGTTCAGACCCCCGATACATCCTGAGCCTCAGCTTCAGGTCGCAGGGAGTCACACACCACACACGCATGGAGCACTATCGAGGTAAGACATGCACGCAGACATGTGTTCACTAACTCTAACCCCACACATGACAGCAGAATGGACGGCAGGTGCACGCAGTATTTTGTGGATACCTGCACAGATGAATGTGTTCACCGTTCCTTACCGTCCCCATGTTTGGTCCCCCCTCTGTTGGGGTACCTAGCACACAGATCTGGTACTAAAAGGTGGAGCTGTGAACACTGCAGTCTGATTGGTCAGTAGAGGACGGTTACTCTGCTCAGGGCTTTTGCTGCCTCTCACAGCAGCTGGAGTCTGAGAAAAAATAACTTCATTCACTGGGCCGACTGCCGGCAACTTTTAAGGTGGAACGTTAACTTGTAATGTTACTCAATGCATGAGGTGACGACGTGAATCCATCAGCACACCTTAAATTTCACTGTGACAACTTTGACCATCACTTTAGTTTTTATATGACATACACATCATGCTTGCATATGCAAATATGCAGTCATTTACAGCCTACAGAAACATGTGCATCCATATATACTGGTCATTCAGCATGTCAGGTGTATAATATGGACACCAATCACATGTGTGATGGCACACCACCACCATGATGAGACACAGAAGACATTTATGCGCACATGCAAGCTGACCACAAACCAACATAAATATATGCACATAAAACTGTAACATGACATTTAGTGGGTGTGGTGTGTGGGGGCATATGTCACAGGCATATAACTTCCAAATGGTTTCACAAGATTTTGTGGAAAGATTGGTCAGGAGCCAAAGGACAGCTGATTAACTGTTCATGCCAGTCAGTGAGAAGGGGCAATGCATGGGTGCATGCACGTACGTGGTCGCAGCTATTTATGTGATAAGTGTGAAACTTCTGTGTTGAACTTGGAAACAGTAGCAGTCTGACGTTAAGACTCCAGGCTCATGTACTTTCTTCTCTAAGAGCTTTCAGTCGCTTCTCACAGTCTTCCTCAGTGGATGCAGTTTGCTGTATGTCAATACATTTGTGATGCCTGGAATGTGACTGAAATTTTCTCAAGTAAATTCCAATTAATTTGAGTATAGGTTTACACTTTTTCAAGTCTGTCTTTCAACAGTAGTCACATGCTGCGGTAGAAAAATATTTAATACGGACATACAATGTGTAAATGTGAGCATGACTCTTCATCGTCAGGGCATGGAAAGGTCTTAGAGTCCTTCACTGTCGATATGTGTGCATGTGACAAGACACCAGATGTCTGGAGGTTAAGATAAAGACTTTGCTTTGGTGAATAGTAGAACAAACTCTGTCTGCGTTATCTTTACTTGAATATGTTTATTACAACACACAGCTGATCACAGGAGCCTTTGGCACAGCCTGTGTGCACAGTGATTTACCAAAAACTTAAAGGAACACTTCACCCCACAAATGAGCATTTGTATATTTATTACTCACCACATGTTGCGTAAAATTTGTGAAGAAAACTTTACTTGTCTTGTATGCCTCTACAGTGAACAAAGAATCCAAAAATGGCAATAATCTTGATGAATTGACGTTATAAGGGTCCACGTTTAACAACATCAAAACTATGTCAAAACATCTGTTAACAAACTCTCACGCAACTCATGCAGTATAATCCAAATCTCAGTTATGCAGTTGTATGCTCAGTACCACCCAAACAGACAGTGCTTTCCAAAGATGAACTGAACTGAAAGTTAAACTTAATCTAATTTTCCCTCGCTGACATGGGAGCTGCTGGTCTACCACTGCCTTGATTGGTAGTTTGTTTGTGTTACTCTCTAAATAAAAAAAGACGCTTACTGCACCTTTTTGTTGTTGCCAGGCAACCACCCCATCACCTCCTTACCCTAACCTTCCCATGTAATCAATTTACTATTTATTTCTTTGTTTTCATTTCGCAGTAATGAGTATCTAGTTGCTGTCTGTAGCTCTGGTTGAGGGTGAGAGGCTGTCAGCAGATAAACAGAGATCTGTGTGGGTACATGAGACCCTAAAAAAGAGGCTGGATCATGGGGAGTACCACCAGTTGGTCCAGGAGCTTCTCCTCCATCACGGACGTTTACAGGCATATTTTAGGATGACTCAGGGGCAGTTTGACAACCTGCTGCTGTCTATCTTCGGCCCGTATAGCTCTGGGTATCCAGCAACTGCTACCACCAGTTTCTCCTCCATTGTTCACCAACTGTAAACTTGTTGTTGTGACCACCACAGAAGGCCCGCCTCTCAAATCATCTGATTGGACAGTGGGAAAAAAGTGGAGAGGATGTGGGGTGCTTTTCTGCTCTGAGTTGATGTTTTTTCAACTTGAGGAATTCAGAGCGCCCCAGCAAGAACGCCAGGTGCCCAGAGCGCAGAAACACAAGGCGCATAGCAACGCTAAAACAGCGATCAAAAAGCTTCATTCTCATTAAAAACAATTTAAAAAGCCGTCTCCAGCTGCTAAGACACTTTCTGTGTGATCCGGGCCTAGAGCACTAGAGTCACACTTCTCATTACGCATACACATTTACCACATTCCTGTTTATTCACTTTGCAATTCCTCTACACCTGTCTACTACAAATACATGTATTTTATCCGTATCTTTTAAATCCTGCACTATTTTCTGCCTTTTTCTATTTTTTTCTTGCATGTTTTATTTTTTGTACCAGAGATTGAAGTTTTTTTTTTCAATTGCCAATGGCTGCTTCTCTGTAATTGTTGTTCATATGAAGATGACAACTTGAAACTCTTCAAAATTAACCTCTAAACGTTATGCTTTCAAGGTAATAACCACATTCTGTTACATTTATCTTTTTTTCAAACATAGTCACATTGTTGTAGCTTTTCACACACTGACGATAACACGAACACAACAACAGAGCACATGAAGAAACAACAGAACACAAATAAATCTAAACTCAAACTCAACGTTATAGAGATCCAATAAGGTCACACTACAACACTGAAGCATGAATAACTCGCACAACACCGCATGCATATTTGCACACACGCCACATGTGTGACAAACCAACACGGTGACTCATGAAAGATACATCTGTAACCGGGCAGACACACACACACACATGCATACATAAACGGGGCTCTACATTAATGAGTCACCATCATAAAGCTATAGAGTCATGCCTGGAAACACATTCATTATTCAGACACGCAGCCCCGACTGACACAACACATTCACATCAACACCATCGTGTGTGCATGAACGCACTGTGGCCTGACATGAATCGAGGGCAGATAAACAACCACTGAGCGGTCAACAGGAAGTCAACTCACATGCAGCAACATATTTATATGTGTCTGTTCTCTCTGCATGTCAGCTGGTTGTACATAGTGGACTTTCTGTTCAGATTAGAGACTTTTATTCTGAAATCAGACATTAAACATTTGTTTGAGGCAGATTTTAGCCACATTAGCATTGCTGAGAAAGCTAAATATCTCAATAACTCTTGGATAGATTGCCGTGAAATTTAATTTAGATATTCAAGGTCTCCACAGGATGAATCCTAACGACTTTGAGGTTGATATTTATGGTTCACGGTGAAAATCTTGCCAGCTATTAGATAAATCGCTGTGAAATTTGCATCATATATTCACAGTCCCTAGAGGATCAATTCAGTTGCCTTTTGGTAATCCTCTGACTTTTCCTCTTACACGATCACCAGGTCAAAGACTTTACTTATTCAGTGATACAGCTTCAAATCTATTTCATGTATTGGGGTCAATGTGGTCATAGGGAGCTGTATTTTGATGCTGTCCAATAAAAGTATGTTGTATGTGTATATTTTTTATTAAACCAATTAATTAAACACACAAGTTTACTGTAATTACACATATGTTTCGTAATTAATGTGGGTGTGATTTATAGATGATGAAATGCGACGTGACACATAAAGGCAAACATTTCTCTCTGCCTCCAGGGACGTTCAGCTTGTGGTGTCACCCGAAGTTTGAGGACCGCTGCCACTCGGTGGTGGAGTTCATCGAGCGAGCCATCATGCACTCCAAGAACGGCAAATTCCTCTACTTCCTCCGCTCCAGAGTCCCAGGTAAAATATAGGTCAAAAATCTGCACGCAGCCCCAGGCCAATCAAAAATGGATGCGAGCTGCCACTTAGTAAGAAGTGCCTGAGAGACAGAGGAGGGGGGGAAATGTATCTGACTGTGTGTCTGCATTCAGCCTGTGCATCATTTATGATTGTGAGAATGAATCTAAATGTGTTTGGTCTGTCCTCAACGTTAGGTATGATTTCTGAGCAGGCAGTGTAAAGTAGCTAAATACATTTTCTCAAGTACTGTTAAATTAGATTAAGAATTAAATTAAAAAGAAATGAAAGAATTGTATAACACTTGGCCAAAGGCTATCTGTACTGAAAAATAAGATCCCTGGTTTTGCTATGAGATGTAATATTGGGACCACAAAATCAATGAATAAGCTGAAGGTATATATTTTGAGGTGTTACATGACTGATGTGATAAAACTCAGCACAGCTCACAGTTTAGTTTTTAAACATCAGCACTGAACTGGGAGGATACTGGGTGGATTTGGAGATGTTGGTGGTCATTATGCCAACATCAGGAAGTGTATCTCCTTTCTAATTTGATGCATTTTCCCTTGAGATCAGGTTATCCTTTATGCAAGAGAGTCTTGGCCAACATGGAAGCACAGATCACTGACAAATGACAGGATAGAAAATACAGTACATTTTCTTCACTCTCAGATACCAAGCTTCACCGTGACACCTGATATGACCACCGCAGATGATATTCTTTGCTTAAACCCGTCATACAAACATTTAATATCCGCCATCTATGACAGGTTAGCGGAGATCAGACACGCCCTTCTTGACAAAATCAAACATACCTGGGAACAAGATTTAAACACTGCATTGTCGGACAGTGCGTGGGACTCTATCCTCAAACTGGTTAACTCATCATCTCTCCGTGCTCGCCACTGTCTATTACAGTTTAAGGTCGTGCACAGAGCCCATTGGTCTTAAGTCAGACTTTGATGCATTTACCCAGATGTGGACCCTAGCTGTGACAAATGTTGAAGAGGTGAGGCTTCTCTCACATGTATTGGACGTGTCCGATCCCTGAAAAATACTTGAAGGATGTTTTCCAATCCTTATCCTCAATCCTCAACTTTGACCTGTAAACCCTGCCCTGTGGTTGCTCTCTTTGGCACCACCAGAGAGGATGATGTACACGTGACTCCGATCCAACACCGCACAGTCTTTTGCCTCTCTGCTGGCTAGACGGGCAGCTCTAATCAGATGGAGGGATGCTGCCCCGCCCACTCATGCCCAGTGGCTGAAGGACATTGTGTCCTGCCTTAATCTTGAAAAGATTCGCTACTCAATTAGTTACTCAGATGAAAAATTCCAAAAGGTCTGAGGCCCCTTTCTGAAATACTTCCAATGCTTTAAGTTAAACTGAAGATTCTGTGTTTGTTTCTTGTTCCTATTTCTTTCTGTCAGTGTGTACTCTCATTAATTACCCCATTATTCTGAACCTGCCTTTTACATAGACGTCCCTCCTCCTCTCTTTTAATATTGAGCCTGAGTTTTAGCTCATCTGTCTTTTATTTTTTTATTTTGCACTATCCAGGAGATGGTGGACCATCCTACAGACAATATTCTGGCTGTTATTAGGGGTTAGGGTATGGGGAGGATTGTGATTTGAATTCAAGCTTTGGTCCTCATCATACATATGCTTTAAGTTTAATACCTGCTGTGAATATGCTTTGTGTACTCATGTTAGAATTGAATAAAAATATTCTTGATAAAAAGAAAATACAGTACAAAACAGCAACGTTAGGCTAATTTAGTGTTAAAAAGAATACGTACTGGTCTGGTTGGTATTTAAAATTTCTCTTTTTGTCAACAAATCCCACAAAAATACCAAAACAGTGACTGTACCCTGAAATATCTTCTTCTTCTGTGTCACAGAGCTTCACTGTTGTCCAAAAAACTATAGCCCAAACCACTATGTTTATTTACAATAACTTTCAAGTAGAGAATTCCCGTGTCACACACATAAAAGACTCAAAAAATAGCATGCACATCCAAAAAAATAATTAAAAACACTGGGTGCTGGACAGAAAACAAAGACAAGAATACAAAAGCAGGTCTGCACACCAGAAACTGCTCCTTTTGGAAATTTTAATCATATCAACACATGTGACGCCTTTCATGTCTGATGAAGGTGCTCGAGCCCCAAAACGTCAAATGGTGATACATTTAAAATTTCCAAAAGGAACGCCTCCTTCATCAATTCCTTTTTAGCCACCTAAAAAAGGACCCACCAAAAAAATTAATATCAGTTTAAGCGTATATAATTTTTTGATGGGGTATTGACATCGTTATATCAAAGCCACTAGACTACATTGACAAAAACAATCATTTTAATGCCCAGAACTCAGAGTTGCTGGTCTACTGCTACCTCGATTGGTTAGTGTGTAAGGTAAAGCGGAGCACATATTCAAATAAAGCGCACACTTAAACTGATATAGATTTTTTTAGGTGGCTAAAATATGTTTTGCTGCAGCCCCCCTCCGCAGCAGTACATTGTGTAGCTTCCAGCCCGGTAAATTTGGCGAATCAAAGATGATAGCAAAGCAACAGTACATAAAATGAGCACAAACAGTGTTTACCTTTACATCTTTGAACTTTACAGTTACAGCTGAAACTGACGACAGAAATAAACAAGATTGCATATTGTGTGTGTGTGTGTGTGTGTGTGTGTGTTGCAGGGCTTCCTCCCACCCCGGTCCAGCTGCTGTATCCTGTGTCTCGCTTCAGCAACGTGAAGTCGCTACAACATCTCTGTCGCTTCTGCATCCGACAAATGGTCCGCATCGACCACATCCAGGAGCTTCCACTGCCCAGGTACTCCACTCTTACAGGGTCATTCATTCATTCATGTATTCATTCTCTGTAACTGCTTATCCTGTTCAGGGGGACTGGAGCCTGTCCTAGCTGACACTGGGTGAGAGGCAGAGTACACACTGTAGAGTCATGTGATAGTACAAATATCCACCTGCTGAAATGTACACATGTTGTGAACCGTTGTAGAGCTCGTGACCTGTTGTCTCAGGACTTCCAAGATGTCATCCAACATTTGTCTCTTTATATATTTGATATTAGAGTGACTCTTGCTGTGGGATTAAACATGAGGCTCTTTAGTCACAACTAACCATATAAAGTTGACGACAGCCTCTTGTTTAATTCTTTATGTACCTTTGGTTTATAGCATATGCTATGCTCAGTGATTCAGCAGTACGAGCGCTACTACAACAAACACTGGGACACTTGGCTTATTTATTTCTCCATGTTTATCATCTCTCTTCAGACCACTAATATCCTACCTGAGTAAGTTTTATTACTACGACCCCGAGGAGGAGACGTACCTGTCAATCAAGAGCATCCGGAGGGCGGTGGGAGCGGAGCAAGAGGCCGAGTCGCAGACGTAGCAGCAGAGATCTTCTCAGCTCAAGTGAGTTTGAGACTAGTGTGAATGAACTCTGTCTTTAAGGTATGCTGTGCAGGATTTTCGTCTGTATGAATGGACTCATACAGAGGTAATCCCTCTCCTTCATCACTAGTGACCCACTAGAAGTGCGTGGTGATGTATTTTTCTGCAGAGACTCTGCTCTCTGCTTGGATTTCTTCTTATAAAAAGGTAACAACCAGGTTCCAGACTGTAGGCAGCAGGCATCTGAGAGAAAGCTACAAAAATCACAGACACGGCACAGAGAGAATGCAAATATAGTGAGGCAAAACACCAATCTAGGGTCAGCTTTTTACTTTCCTGGAGTTGATTTAAATATTTACTGTTCTTTATTTGTGTTTATTTGCTATTTAATCATCCCTTTTTTTACATTTTACTTCCAATGATTTGCTACATTTTCAGGTTTAGAAGCGCATCAAGTTCCTAGTTAAACGTTTCATGTTTCTTGCTATCATTGATAAACAAGATTTAGTTTGATTTTCCTCCGTTGGAGGAAGGGGTAGGAGCTCAGAGTAGAGCTGCTGCTGCTCCTTTGCGTTGAAAGGGGTCAGTTGAGGTGGTTTGGGCATCTGATCAGGATGCCTGTTGGGCGCCTCTGGGCATGTCCCGTTGGTAGGATGCCCTGGGGCCGACCCAGAACACACTGGAGGGATTATATATCTCATCTGGCTTGGGAATGTCTCAGGATCCCCCAGGAGGAGCTGGTAAGTGTTGCTTGGGAGAGGGACGTCTGGGGTGCTTTGCCCCCACGACCTGGCCCTGGATAAGCGGATGAAAATGGAGGGATGGATGGAAACATGATCTGCCTCCAGCGTAACATGTGGTAGCCTCTGCCACCAGTGTGTGAATGTGTGTGTGAATGGGTGAATGTGACATGTAGTGTAAAAGTGCTTTGAGTGGTCAGAAGACTAGAAAGGTGCTATACAAGTGCAGTCCATTTAACATTCTCGCTCAGAGGGGCTTCTAACTACAGTGGCCGACGCAAAATAGCGAATGTCCCTATCCTGAGCCAGTGTTTGGTTTGTCTGCTCTGGGCTACTGTAGAAACATGGCGGTGCAACATGGTGATCTCTATAGACAAGGACCTGCTCCATATGTAGATATAAACGACTCATTCTATGGTAACAAAAACACAGTGATTCTTATTTTCAGGTGATGATACACAAAGGAAACATACTTTTTCTTATTCTATTCTTAATCATGTGACTAACAGTTTATTCATATGAAGTTATCATATATCTGATAACATGTAAATGCATCTTTATGTTATCTTTGTTTGAAACCTGTCTCTCTGCCCAGGTTTCTGTATGGAGGACTGATAAGCACTGGTCTGCCAGTCTTCCAGCATCAGCCAATCAGAGTCTCCGGATGTCTCTGTGTCTCTAGCTGGACTTGGATGGACCTCGCCTCTACCTTGACTTGGACTAACAAAAAGAGGGACGAGTGTTTGCAGCTGGACGGCGGGAAAACTGTCAGTGAGACGTTCAGGTGCAGAGGACTCAGCCTCGTCTTCAGAGGGACTGCAGAGATGTTCTCACCTGCGAAAACATGTCGGTTCGAAACAAATGGAGAATTATGAACTTTATTTGCAAATTTCCTGAAGCTACTGAACTGGACTTTTAAAAACACACAATGCACTGGTCGATTTGTACAACTGTTGTTTGCTGCCGTTTCCTTGTTTTTCCTTCCATGCTGTCAAAAGGAGGGTTTTTTGGATTAAAAGTTGCCCTCGGGACAGATATACACACAGAGGCAGGGCAGCAGAGGCCCATCACTGAGCAGTCAGACAGTCAGGCCACAATGTTGGAGGACCTATAATCTTATACTGGGTAACCTGAATAGCTTTTCTGCCTGGAAATAACAAATTTACAATATTAACTACAGTGCTAATGTAATACTAATGTCAGTAACAAATACCAGCCATAAAATTTACTCGAAATATGTGGATTGGTTCTCTCAGCTGGTCGTTTATACGTCATAAACATCTCCATCTTTTGTGTTTTTTAAGCCTGATTATAAGAACAAATTGCCATGTCATTTCAGTTAAGATATTTTGTCTGACGTTGGGATTTCTGTTTGCGAGACGGGGCTATTTTGTTTTGATTCCAACTAAGTAGTGAGAGATGTATCAGTCCCACTGATGTCATTTTAAATGTACATGGACGCTGTGAGTAGCAGTTACCTTATTTGCCATATCTAATGATGGAACAGGCAGATTACTACACCTGTAAAGTGACCATTTGTCCATCAGTTACTCACCGTGTGTTACCCACATGCCTCTGTGGGTACTGGAGAATTTAGAAAAGGCAAACATTCTTCTTGAAGTAAACATGGTCCGCGTCTGCCAGCAAAACTATATCAAAACATCTGTTTACAACTTCTCACACAACTAATGCAGTATAATCCAAGTCTCATTAGCAGAGCTGAGGGCACACTACTTGTAGCTGAAGTGCTTTATATTCATAACGTTTTAGTGAAAACGCATGTATCCATACGACTGGATAAATGAGACTTGGATTATACTGAGATTGCGGATACAAGCAGCTGAAATGAGTTTCCTCTGTGGGGTGTCTGGGCTCAGCCTTAGAGATAGGAGCTCAGAGTAGAGTTGCTGCTCCTTTACGTCGAAAGGGGTCAGTTGAGGTGGTTCAGGCATCTGATCAGGATCCTCCTGGGCGTCTCCTGTTAGAGGTGTTTCAGGCACGTCCAACTGGTAGGAGGCCCCGGGGCAGACCCTGAACACACTGGAGGGATAACATGTCTCATCTGGCCTGGGAACACCTCGGGGTCCTCCAGGAGGAGCTGGAAATTGTTGCTGTGGAGAGGGACGTCTGGAATACTTTGCTCAACCTGCTGCCGCCACAACCCCGCTACAGATAAGCGGTTGAATATGGAATGGATTATACTACACGAGTTGTGTGAGAGTTTGTAAACTGATATTTTGATATAGTGTTGTAACACGCAATCCCCAATTACTTTAATTCATGAAGAATGTTTGCCTTTTTTGGATTCTCCGTTCCCTGTGGAGGCATGAGAGAAAATCAAAGTTTTCTTCACGACTTCACTGTTGAGTAATGGATACACAAATGGTCATTTTGTGGGTGAAGTATTCCTTTAAAGGGTAACTTTGGTATTTTTCAGTCTCAACTCTGTTTTCCCACATTTTTGACTAAATGACTACTGGGAACAAACATTTTTGAAACCGGTCCAGTCTTGAGTGAGAGGACTGCAGCTGGCAGCAACGACGCAGGCTGCAATGTAATCACATGGGGCAATTATGCGCCCTCAGTGTATGTTGACTATGAAGTGTTTGTTGTTGCAATAAACAGCTCAAACTATTAGTTGTGTCTGACAACATTATAGAAAGGATCGTTACAGAGATAGACCTTTACGGTAAAGGGTAAGATCCTTTTTGTTTGACCTGAAACAGCCCCAAAATTGCCTTTGTCAAACCCACCAGACTCCATTTAAATAAACAGCAATTTTAGTGTGTATAGAGCCATCACATTTTTAGATTTAACCGGGTTAATTGAGGGTTTATGTCAACCAAACTGGAGCTGGCGAATGTTGGAAGAGCGGAAAGACAAACAAAGACAGTTTTTGTGAGTTTTATTTTGTTTTTGGGGATTTTGAATGAAGCATGTTTTATGATAATAAAATTACTGTTTATTTAAATGGAGTTTGGTGGCATTAGCAGCGGCGATTTCAAGGCTGTTTTTGGTTAAACACAAAGGACCTCACTCTTAAACTATCTGTCTATCTCATCAGGGGGTTTTTCAATCATGTTGTCAGACACTTAATATAACAATACGCACCTGTCAGTGGCAAAAACAAGCACATTTAGTGGTTGTAAATTGATGATGCACAATTGCCCCAAGTGTTAACACTGCAACCTGTTTAGCTGTTGCCAGCTGAGGCGGTCTCACTAAATACTGGATCAGTTTCAAAAACTGTTGTCAACATTAGTCACTTAAACACATAAGCATGAGAAAATGGGGTCCAGGTTGAAAAATACCAAAGTTGCCCTTTAAGTCCACTTGGGACACCTGGTCAGTCTCATCTGTCCTTGCTGCCACATTTCCGTCACTATTTTCCTGGATGTCGCCAGCTCACCATGTAGAAAGATGATGTCTCCCGTTTTTAATCTCGCCTACAAAGCTCAGATCGTTCAGTTGTCTGTCCAACAGGCACAAACAGCCTTCAGTGAGCACAACAACAGATCCGTGTGAATCCCTGAACAAACCCAAACAAACCAAATCACAGCCTTCAGCATCACCAAGACGTAACAAGCAGAAATCTGCCTGTGTGTTTTTTCGAGGAAGAAGTAGCGTTACTTTCTCTTGTTTTGATGTCACTACTCTATCATGTAGACACACTCAACAACATCTGACCTCTGTTCAGTGGGGAGAAAATAATACGCCACAGTCACTGTCGTTGTTGTTAGAACAAAAACAAACAAAAAAATGAGAAACAACAACAAAATGTAATGTTGAGTGTCCTGCTGCTTTGTGTGTTCCCACAAACGCTACCTTCAGACTAGATGTCAGTTTCAGATGTCCAGTACGTCACAGCAGATGTGGAATGCAGTGTTGTACTGACTTCCTACACTTCCCAGGATGCCTCTTGGCAACTTTTATAAACAGGTTGTAGTTTTAAGTCATATGAACATCACTAGGTTTCTGCCCAACTAGTTCATAAACACTGAGCTGCGTCCAGTACTCACAGCACACCATGTCCAGGAGATGCAATGCATTCTGGACTATTGAGGCTCCTGATGGGACATAATTTATTGCTGTTATATTACATTATTTCAGCACATGTAGTTGCTGTTTACATTTGAAGAGATATTTACAGTAACGGGAAAATACACCAAAGAAAAATTATCTTCAGAAATGCAATTTACAAAACAAACACCTGATTTTTAACACAGTTTGATTCATTGGAATTTAAGGCGGAGCCATGTCGCTTATGATAAAAATATTTATTTTATTTTTATTTATGACTAATGCACTTATGCTGATGTACACTCTTAGACAATTAAAATTATTGAAATTATTTAAATGGATTTAAACACAAGAGAGTTGCAAAACTAACATGAAGTTAACTTACATCTGCAAAAACAAAACAAAGAAATATTCGACACTACTGTGTTGGGAGTTTAGGAGCCTTGTGTTTCCCATAATGCCCTGCCTCAGAGTGTGTATAATCTGCCTCATCTGACTCATCTCTATCTGTCAGTTTTATTTGTTGAAATGCCCAGGTGTATTTTGCTCATTCTATTTCTCAGTACCCTGAAGCTGACTACTGGCTCAGCGATTTCAGTAAAAAAAGAAAAATAAACATTGGTGTGTGGCATCATTTTTCAGTTGGAATACTTTAATGATATGATGTTTCTGCTGTTGAAAGTCTGAAAATGTTTCATGGTTTTATATTAAAATAACAACCCTTATCAGTGGTTGGTCCCACTGGGGCTGACACCAGAATATTACAGGTATTGGGGTCGTATGTCCAAATCCAAAGCTCCCAGAAAAAATGTTTTAAAACATTTAATTATTTAACTGTTTAGATCTAATGTCTAAACATTCTCTTTCTTAACAGGAAGGTCAAAACTGTTAAAAGTATGTATTTCCAAAGTGGCATAGTCCTTGACAAAGACTTGTTTCTTCCTGCAGGTTCCAAAACCCCCAAAGTCCTCGAGTCCTCAGAGCCCAAGTTGACTCAGGGGTGGAGCCAGGTGCTGTAAATGACGTCACCTGGGAAGATATTTCCCCATTTACAGCAGTTATATGCACATTTTTTCAAGGCATTTTTAATATAGAATGCCTAAAATCCTGTACGTCATTTGGAAAAAAACATGATAGGTGCCAAGGTAAAACAATCATCTTGTAGAGCCTACGTCCTATTTTGCATCTAAATGTTTTCCAACTGTGTTCGTCATTCTGAAACCATAACACAACAAATGTTGACAATGACTAGTTTCCTCTCCTGCCACCTAAAATGGGTCAAAAATCATTTGATGTCCCAATTTGTAAGGTGCGGCTGAAATACGTGAGACTCAGAAGTGGGGAGACATGTCTGCGGCAGCATGCACCATCCATTATAACCAACCAAAGCTGCTACACTGACCATGGAAGCCACACTTGCCCATGCAGATGCTGCACGGCTCAACGGCCTCCAACAGGTGAAACTTCTACAGAACTGTGTAGAAGACGAGTACAAGCTGTTGTATCAAATTGAACAGGCCTATCTCATCATACCAGAGACAATGTGACACAGCTGAGCAACTTGATGTGTGTTACATTTCACGTCAAGATAAATCAATCTCAGTTCATCCAGCTGCATTATCATTGTGATAATGTGATACAGTGAAGTTGGCTGCAATCGCCAGAGGATCCACAATCAACCAATAGCACAGTGACACCCTCTCCATCAGCCTATCATCTCACTGCTCCTCATTTTAAATATGGTTCTTTTTCTGCCTACAGTCCTTTCATGCTGCTGCTGTCACCACCCAAAGTCATCAGCCACCTCCACCACCACCTCCACCAGTGTCTAGACTCCATGGGGGGATTTATCTTGCTGCTGCACAGATGTCCCACGATCACAAATAATCTCCCTCTGGTGTCCGAGCGCCAAAAACTTTTGTTAAATCTTATCAGCACTGTACACTTCTGTACACTTATATTTCGCATTAAACTCCACTTTTATTTCATTCTTCTGTCTCTCCTGAATGAAATAACAAAGTTTTTTGCAACAGCAAAATGAATCTAGTGGACTGAAAAAGCAATTGATTATATTATTCTAGTAGGCTACATAGAGTTTAAATTGTATTTGTCATATTATTAAAGGGATAGTGCACCCTAAAGTGAAAATTCAGCCATTATCTACTCACCCATATGCTGAGGGAGGCTCAGGTGAAGTTTTAGAGTCCTCACATCCCTTGCGGAGATCCAAGGGGAGAGGGGGTAGCAACACAACCTAATGGACCACCTAATGGAGGCTGATGGCGCCTCAGATTCGTCCAAAAACACATAATTGAAACCACAAAATATCTCCATACTGCTCGTCTGTAGTGATCCAAGTGTCCTGAAGCGGCGTACAGGGAAGCAGTCAGAGCTACAGGCTACAGTGAGGCTAAAAACAGAGTTCAAATGACGTTTTTCCAAACAACTTTTTATGTCGGGGCTTCAGGACACTTAGATCACTACGGACGAGCAGTATGGAGATATTTTGTGGTTTCAATTATGTGTTTTTGGACGTTTGAATCTGGGGCGCCGTCAGCCTGCATTGGGTGGAGTTGTGTTGCTACCTCCTCTCCCCTTGGATCTCCGCAAGTGATGTGAGGACTCTAAAACTTCACCTGAGCCTTAATCTGCATATGGGTGAGTAGATAATGGCTGAATTTTCATTTTTGGGTGCACTATCACTTTAATTTATATAATTAAAAAATCGATACTTGGCACTGTGTGACGATATGATATTGCCACACAAATATATTGCAATACTATGCTGTATTGATTTTTTCCTCCACACCTAGTACAGTAACTAGTGATCAGTTACCTTTTACATTTCAATAGTAACCT